TCCATGAGGTCCATCTAAAGCTAGCTCGGTCTTTTCTCCTCTTCATTCACTCGCACCAGCTCCATCTCGTATCCATGGCGGACAAGCCCAACGGATGTGAATGAGAGATCGAAACTTGGGAGATTGTGCTCTTTCCAAGTAGATGCAGAGCCCATGGATATGGAGGTGAGGAAATTAGCAACAGTAGAGTGGAGAGCCCGCAAGGAATCAAGGGTGTCACGTTTGTGATGAACATGGCCGAGTCATTGCATGCGTCAGTCCACTTGCTGCAGCAGCGGCACCATTTGGAGAGAGCGGACCATGCAGACACGATATTGTTACCATGTGACCGACTCACTATATGACATCAGAGATGTCTGCCACATTCATGTCACATTACTAGAAATTCGTACACGATACTCCCTCCATTCTGCTTCAGAGTGCTTATTTCAAAATTTTCAGATATCCATAGTAATATTAATCTCACTTTGAGTCTCAATAACTTAAAGCAAATTGAGTCCCACACACATTCGTAGTGAAAGTATTATAGCTAGTATCATCTATATCAATTATGCCATTTTAATGAGATGGCATATCATGATAGTGTATCATAATAAATATTATGCTATCATATGTCATGCGTGTCAATAAATAAGATCATCTAAAGATACACATATATGATATTATGCATTACGGAGGTGGTATCATACATATGCATGATACTAACTTATGATAGTACCCACTACGGGTAGCCTAGTGGGATGTTGCATTTACTGCTTCAGAAGTTGAACACATGGACAATATTTCATTGGACATTTCTTGAACCATGAAACTTGTGTCATCGACTCATCATCTACCTTGGTTGATGAGAATTTTTAGACGAGCCTTCAAACCGAAAGGGAGGGTCAAGTATAGGGCTGGATATGTTGGGATCTGCATATTTTTGGGTACATTACCCCAAGAGATGTGGTGCAACATGTGCTCCAAGACACCTTGAAAGTGTGAGGGGATCATGTACTAATAAAGTAGGATAACTTTATACTCTCCCCGTTTTTACATATAAGTCTTTGTAAAGATTTCACTATGCATCACATAAGGATGTATATATATAGATGCATTTTAAAATGTAGATTCATTCATTTTGCTCTGTTTGTAGTTCATAGTGAAATCTCTCCAAAGACTTACATTTAGGAACAGAGGAAATAACAATTATGCATGTTGGTTATTGGACTGACTATAAATGACATAGCAATAAAATATAACCGGCCGTACTATTATTCTTGCTCTTAGATCTGATCCCATATGGGCAAAGAGTAAAACTATGTCATCACTGATATCATGACCCGTGATTTACGGGGATAAAATCACACCTGCAGCTATATTATACTCATTTATATCTGATGCCTAAATATGGGTGCGTGTGCGTCCCTTTGCTTTCTCCTGACGTGATCAGATCTTGCATGGTTAGAAATCTTGGTGTGGATGCAAGATTCGGTTTTGCACGTTGTGACGTACTTTATCTTTTTGGTCACCCCGAGTCTTGCTTTCATCACCATAACTCCTATTCTGCTGACGGTGCAAGCTTAATGTATAGCTGTAAGTAAAAATAAAATAAAATGATCACATACATGGCCATCCCTAAAAGCACTCAATTTTTCCAACCATACGAGAAAAAATATATCAGCATCCAATGTATAAAATAAATATTATTAGAATCATTATAAAATATATTTTCAAATTACACGTATTTTGGCAGTAGTAAATCAGCTTCCTTGATCCGGCAATGTGGGTTTTCACACAACAACTCCCAAGCACTGAAATCAATGCGTGGCCCGTGCTGATTCCTCTGCCAAAAATAAACTCCAAGATCCAATGACATGACAAGGTGCATAATAGACATGGTTGGTAGGCTCACATACAATTATTGGTGGGCAGAGCTGCTACGTCTGCAGTGGAATCACGGACATGATATCACTTGACACTGCATTATTGCCTTATTGGGTAGAGATCCTGGTCCCTCACGTGCATTTGTGGGCATAGACGTGGAGTGACGGTGGTTTTGGCAGCACTGTTAGCAGATCTGAAGTTGGTGAAATGTATATGATGAAGGCAATCCTGACATTAAAGTGTATGATAATGCCAATCCACAAGAGTAATATATGCTTCCGTCCACCAACCGAAAAGAGCAGTGTGTCAGTGATATGAATCTCAATTATTTGATCTGACAATGTTGGGTGGATGTTATATTTTTGCAGGACCACGGAGTGGATGGGAATTGGATGAGATCTGTTATGTAATAGATGCCGAATTTGATAGGAGTTGGTTCCTAGAACCATGTATATACTAAAATTGATGTTGCTATGACTTTATTATGCCTAATGCTTGACCTTAGGACCCGAGTGTCATGATTTCAGATCTAAACTCTTTATGTTTTCATTAACATATATTTTCTGAATCTTATAAGCAAGTTATATGCACATATGATGGTCCTGAACCCTAGAACCTAAAGTGACAATAATTAGGGTATCAAGGGGATGGCTATGATTTGAGGATTACATGTGTTTATAGATTATTAATGCTTAGAACTCCCGAGTCATTGACCTAGCAATGAATGCTCTCGTGCGCCGGCAGGTCAGTGCTATCCAGCAGGGCATCAGGATGCTAGGCTGAACCATCAATGGTGAACTCGACCTTGCCGAAGTGGATGCTGCTAGCAGCAACTGAAGAAGAAACCATCTGCACCATGACATTGATGGACGCTTGCCCCAAGGTGGGCGCCAACTGTCGTGGATATAATACTAACAATACTATAGTGGTATATGTATGTAAAGGCAACTATATCTATTGATGAGTACAGATGGGAGTACACACAAGGATATATAAAGGTTCGGGCCCTCTCCAGTGGAGGTGATACCCTATATCTGTGGTGCTCTTAGCTCTTGGTGTAAGATGCAATGTGTGAAAGAGTTCAATCCTCAGCCTGGTGCCCTGCTCCTGGCTTATATAGAGTGCGCTAGGAGGAGTGCCATAACGGGCTGGTATTAATGCTATTCATGGCCACATGCATGCTCGACTGTTTATGGTCATTATTGCTAGTAACTATTGTTATTAATTAGATTATACCACCGCTGGGTAACACAGGTAATTAAGACATTGTGGTGGTCATGGCATCCAAGGTCGCAACCGACTATAAAATGTCCGACCGCTCTTGTCTTCACGATGACCGACTGTTGGATCTCGTTCATCAGGGAGTGTAGGATCTGACTGCTAGGACTTAGCCCGATCACGAGAACCCCCTGGCCTTTGATATCTTATGTCATAACGCCATTGGGTCGGAAGTGTTGCCCCTTGGCCCATTGTCTGATGGACTGTCATTAGTCTCTTAGTGAGTCGGCAAAGCAGCACAAAGAATTCTCACATTTTTTGCTAGAGGTGACCCTAAGTTATCGGACCCATGAGCGGAAGGCACCCTTAAAGTCAGGGGTTTCTACCAAGCTTTTGCAAGAGTATTAATTTCAACTTTTGACTTCATCGAAATCAAGTTGAAACTACAAACACTTGTAATAAAAATAGGCAAGGGTATGAGGACTTGGTCTTACGGCCATATATTTGCGAACGAGATCATTATGATATCAATTTGTGCACTGGAAGTCATCCATCAGGATGTGCTTGCAATCTATCGAAGTCAGGGATGTAACCAAATTACGTGTTGACCGGAGCGTGTCCTGCATCAAGAATCCGTTTTCCAACCAAAAGGCCCTATTTGTCGCGCGGGGCTGCCTCGCTAATTAAGATAATATTCAGTCAAAAACATTGGGTGCTTAAGGACACCACCTCTTGTATCCCCAGGGATAGGATCCGTGTTATCATACTAAACCTTTTTGTCACTTGTGTTCAGAATAACACTTCATGGTCTCCCTACACGCAGCCTCTCCATGTCTCGCTCTCCATGATCCTGGGTACCTGCACGGACGAACAACACAGACGAGGCAAGGAACAAGTACGATGCAATTTTATGTTACACATACGTGATGTTAATTCAAAGTACTTCCATCGATCCCTCCAACAAGTACATGGGGATGTAGGGCTATGCCTCAACCAATGACTTTACCGTACTACTCACACATGGCGATCCGATCACAAGAATAAATCATTTAAGAACATGTCATGAAGATCAATTGATTGATAATATGTCTTACAATAGTTGTCAGATGTGATACACGATTACAAAGTATGGCTAGTTTGCTTAGTGCTATGGTGATGCTGATGGTGGTGGCTATGGAGATGTGATGGGAAAATGTCGGCGGCTAGGGTTGTTGT